AGTGACATCACTCTGTGGGGGTTAAGGGCCTCGCTCAGGGGCCCAGCAGTGACTCTGCTGCCTCCAGGATTTTTAACCAGTGACCTTCCGATCGCAGGCACAACATCCAAATGCGCTGAGCCACACTGTCCCATTATGCAGAAAAGTAAAGAAACAGATAACGAAGAATAGATGTGCAGTACTACAGAGAAACACGATACCCCTCTATTGCAATTCGCTTGAAGGACGCCAGTCCAGATTTAGCTGCTGATGATGCGGAGGATTTGCTTAAAAAACTCCTAACTCTGCAAGATGTATTCTTTTCTGAAAAAATCCAGTGGATGTCATTCCTGCGTCATATTTCCGTCGCTCAACCATTTCCGTCACAATAACATTTACTCCCCTTTATAATTCCTGGGGGGTTTCATCCCCCCACCCCCCGCATCAGTACAGCAGTGACATAGACAAACTTAACGCCACTTTTAAAGAATGATGAATAAAAAACACAAAGGGTTAATCGCCGCTCGTGTGACCCTAACCCTGACCTCCTCCTGGCCCCTGCTCAAGACCGCCTTTGGTTCCTCCAACAGACCGCGGGGGTCTAATTAAATTCAGGATGCCTCTGGTAGACGGCCCGTGTGGCTTAATGAGGGAGGGGGCTCGTTCCCTCGCTGGCTCAGAGCGCCTTGTTCCGTTTCAAAGATTAGCTTTTGATTATGTGGGATTTTACACATCTGATAAAAATCGCCTCCGTTCATCTGCCCGATCGCTCAATACTCATTATCCTCTCGCTCTTAACAAATGATGCCATTGAACTTCAATACTCCTTGTAAAAATACCATTAGCGTGCCCCATCGACGCCCCCTATCAGTCACACCGATATCTCATTCAATTTGGACCAAAACGGGATGTTGAATCATTACAGAGTAAAGCTGGGGAAACACAAATAGCGTCGCCGCAGTCTGGAGAGATTAGATGGAGCTTTAATTGCTGAAGAAGATAATTGGGTAAGAAGTGACAATAGCCACAGGGGAGCGGGTGCGAGAGTCCGCCCCCCCACACGCGTAACCCAAAGCACAATTTACAAGGATGCAACAGCTTCACCAGGTTCTGACAGACACACAGTCACCACCTTTGCTTATGTCTGAGGTGTGCGTGGAGAAGCTGTACCTATGACCGGAAGGTTGCTGGCTCAAATCCCGAGGTTGACAGAGTGATTTCACTGTTGGGCCCCTGAGCACTGTGCCCCCCAGTCGCTCCAGGGACTGGCTTGAATTAAAAAATGTATATCTCTGCTAAAAAAATTAAAAATATTTAAAACATGTCTGAGGAACAACATTTCACAATGTGCCACGATTCTGTGAACGGGAGCGTGGAAAATTTCCACACAGAGACTGACGTGAATGGAAGTAAATAATCCATGTCAAACATCCCCGTGGCAACCGGGCGGGGTACAGGGAAGCAGCATGTGACAACGGGGAATCAGTGTGTGACACTCGCACGTTTGCCAGCATGTGATGCTGCACCACGGCACGTTTCTGTGCGTCGCCGTAGGGAAGGACCTCAAACTGTGAGCGGATGCAGACGGCAGGGTGTTACTACAGCACACCCGAGTGAACATTATGGGATGGCACCAGGTGGCTCAACCTGCATGGTCAGCAGGATGGCCTGCCTGTAAGGGGCGCTCCTGAGCCCGTTAATTAATCTTCACAGAGTGCTAAGTGAATTCCTTGGGGG